AGAGATAAAGGGGCTTCACTGGTCCAAGTAATACTGAAATGCCCAGCCTTCTCCTGTTTCTGCTTTAGAAAATTTTCTATAATGCCAAAGTTACAGAGTTCAAGTACTGCTGGCTTTATAGAAACATCACTCCTCAGGGCCCCATTCCCCTTAATTAAGGAGTCTAAGACAAATCCGGTGATCTGTAGAAGGTAGGGATGGAGAGGTATGTTCTGAGGTATTGCTTCAAGTGCATCGTAGAATAAAGACGAAGTAGGAGTTGGTGACCTTGTTTCTTGGTCTGGTGCTCATACCTCTCCCAGTAGGACCTGGCACAACTCATTGTCTTGTCAGAGGTTCATGGCCAACGGCCAAATGGGTTGGGGTTAGTTTTGTTTTGTTTTTGTTTTTAAGTAGGCTCCATGCCCAACCCGGGGCTTGCACTCTCCACCCTGAGACCAAGCGTTGCATGCTCTACCACCCAGCCAGCCAGGTGCCCCCAAATGGGTTTTGTTCATTGTCAACTCCAACAAGTTAGAAACTGACAGTTCACAGGTGGGGAAATACATATTTCTTTTTCTTTTTTTAATTTTATTATTTTTTAAGTAATCTCTACACCCAACGTGGGACTCAAACTTACAACCCCGAGATCAAATCACACGCTCCACTGACTGAGCCAGCCAGGCGCTTTGAAATACATATTCCTTAAACAACTCATAGGCAAATGTTTATTCTCTGATTAAAAAATGCAACTGAAATTAAACCTGAGAAGCCACGGTCTACTAAAGAAGAGGAATTTCTTTAAATGATAATGTCTTAAGAAACAATAACAGTAAAATTGCGTAAACTCATTCAATGTAATCAGCTCCATTACATCAGATACTCTCTCTTCCTTGTTCATGTCTGAATCTCCAATGCCCAGTACACGTTAGGAGTCCAGTGAATACTCCTTGACTGAGGATCCATCCATTAAGGGTCTTGAAAATTGTTCTTTGGGAATCCATATGGTCCTACGTAGCAAAAACCAGATAGCTGGCATTGCTCCCATATTAAGCTGACAGGCGAAGAGTGAGGGGAAATGATGTGTTCCCATGTGTCCTCACTCACCTCCACAGGCCAAGAAAATGGAGGACTCTGAACTAGGCAGGAGAAAAAGAGAGGCCTATTTTGACAGAGGACAGCAGGTGAGAGGATAGGGGTACCAACACCCCAACCTCTCATCTCCCAATCAGAACCCAAAGGTAAAGCACCCTCTACTCTCACAGTCCATGTGTCCCCCCTCGGGACATGGGCAGAGGTGGTGGCTCATTTTGGATTGAGGCTTGGTTGCCACTGGGCCCAGCTTCCGGTGATTATTCGAAAAGGTCAAAGATTCCAGTCACTTAAACACACAGCTCTACTCATTTTCACGACCCTGCGATCATGACTGGAGCTGAAATCAAGAGTCAGTCGCTTAACCGACTGAGCCACCCAGGAGCCCCATAAATATTGTTTTCTTAATCAGCACTCAACATCTATCCCTGGGGAACCCACTCTACAGGCCAAATCCAACTCCCGGCCTGTTTTTGTACAAGTTTTTACATTTTGTGCAAAGCTGTTTAAAACAAAAAAAAAGATGCTACGGAGACCGTAAGTGGCCTACAAAGCCTAAAATATTTACTAACTGGTCCTTTAAAGACTGACTGACCTGTAATGTCAAAAGACAACATGCTGCATATATGTGTAATGTAAATCTAATTCCACTTTTAGCCAAGACTTGAAAAATTTTTCTTTTTTGCCCATCTATGGGTTTTTAAAAAGTTTTTTTTTCTTTCCTCTCCCCTCTTAAATAGCTTAGTCCACATGGACCTAAAATGCTCTGCTCTTCAGAAAGTCACTCTCCATTAACTTTCAGGTTTTGAGGTTTCTCGATGTCAGAATTTCTCAGTGGGGCTGGGTTACCATTTAATTTTGCTGCTCTATTTGTTGGCCTAAACGGTAAACTTTTTGTTGGGGTGGTATTACCAAATACATTATTCCTCAAATCTATTTCTGTCCAGTATAAAAATCTGCTTTCTCAGATTGTTTGCTTTAAAATAGACAAGCCAAGTTCTATGAGAAGTCAGAAATTGCTCTCACCATGTTAGGAACAGCTTCACGCAGGTGCACATTTGGAGGCTTAAGGATAGAGAGTTTACCAGGTGATGAAGTTAAAAAAACAAGTTGGGAGACATGAGAGTTAAGGAGCCTTTGGAGTGGACCATTGTGATTTGGGTCCCCCGTAGTCTCGATGTCCTCAGATATCACACCTGATTAGCTCTCAGGACATGTAGTTTGGATGCTAACAGGGCATCCCTGAGATTGCTGTCCTTAGAAAGGTTTGCTTGCAAGGTTGGCCCTTGGTTGGCATCTGGGAACTTAGATTTCGGGAGGACTCCCCCCATTCCCTCCCTGAGAAGAGCGGCTCCCCGTTCCCAAACTGTCCCAATGGGGTTTATGCTAAATACCTGCTTTCCTTCATGAGTCTGGGATTTTGGTATGTGCTCTGGCAAGAGAAGCATGGCCTGTGTGACCAGGCTCTCAGTTAAAACCTTGGATGCTGAGTCTTGGTAGGCATTTTACACGTGTTGTCCCAATTTGACGCTGGGGGGATTAGGCGTGTCCTGCGTGACTCTCTGGGAAAAGAAGTCTTGAGAGCTTGTACCTGAATTCCTCTGGACCTCGCTCCTTTTTCTGATTTTGCTTGGTATCATTTTGACAGAATAAATCATAGTCACGAGTATGACTGTATGCTGAGTCTCGTGAGTCCTCCCAGAAAATCATCAAAACCAGGAGGGTCCTCTGAGGGAGCTCCAATACACTATGCTTAGCTATACTTTTGGGCCGTGATACACACAGGCCAATCAGCATATCCAACATCTCTATAGCGATGATTCAAGGATTGGCTTCTAACTCAAGCACAGCTAGTGAGACTAGATGAGGCCTTCGCTGGGGCTTATGAGAGAACCCAGTGCTCTTTATTCTGCTGGTTGACTTGGAATGTGACTCTGAGGCTGCACCTGTTGGTTGCTTTCATGTGATCAAACAGGAATGACCTGGAGTTGCCAGGGAGGGTACCACATGGGAGCTTGCAGATACTAAGTAGCCAGAGAGATGACAAGGAACTGGGCCAGGATCACAGTGAATTGTTTGATGAAGCCCCTTCAAAAACAAACCCACCCTTCTAGAGGTTTCTTCAGTTATGCAGAAAAGTTGTGCTGTGCCAATTTGAACTGGTTTTATTATTGGCCGCCACAACAAGAGTCCCAGCTCATGGACCATGATGAACCATGCCAGAGCCCTGATGGGAAGGTGACCAAGTAGGAACTCTCGCAGGTTTTTAGGTTGGGAAGTTACGTATTTATTCAGGTGTGAGTACTAGTAGGGCTCCTCTGTGGGTGGCAGGGTGGGTGGTGAAAAACTGGGACCAGCTGGAAAGCCACTAAAATGAGCCATCCACCATGAGGGCACACTTGGGTAGCGGCAGCTGGAAAACCCTGGAATATTCAGGAAGTGGAAGTGAAGGAGGGGATGGAGGGGGTGAGGACGAGAAAAGTCAAAGGTGACTGGTTTCTTAGCTGGCCTCTGTGCACATTCAGGAGCAGGAGCAGGGGGATCACGCGTTTATCCTGGACACACGTGCGCAGTAACCAGGGACAACAGTCCAGTAATGATCTGGAGCTGTGGGTGGGACTGGGGGATTACGGAGGGATCAGGGCTAAGATACAGACTCAGAGCAACCAGCACTCGGGTGACGGCTGAAGACAGGACAGTGGATGAAACCAACCAGAAAAAAAATGTCTAGCAAAAAGTAAGGAGGGCTGAAACTTTGATTGATAATCCTGAAAAGTTAGAGAGACAGAGGAAATTATAAAGGAGACAAGTAGAAGACAGGGAGATTAACCCACAGGTTCATTAAGAAGTTAATACCTTTCTCACTGGAGGATAAAAGGGAAGAAGAGAATTAAGGAGGTTGGTGAAATCAACAATATTGAAATTACAGAAAAGATTAAGGAGCACAAGGATTAAGAAGAAGCTGCTAAATGTGGATACTCTGACCTGTAAGATTGACAGAGATAGGTTAGTAAGATAATTAAAACATCTTTCTTAGTATGTTTTAAGTATCTAGGGTATATATTCAACACTTTCATTAATGTGGGGCATTTGATTAATTTTAATATGCGATTTCTATTTGGAAGGACACAAAGCTCTTCCAAGCTCAACAGGAACAACTTCTATTATAAAAGACCAGTGTTAAAAGACTGCTACTTTAAAAACAAATTCAATTGGTATAACAATAAATCACTCTAAATTACAGTTAATTTTATGATAGCATTCAGAGATCAAGAGGCTAAGGCATAATTGCCAAATACATAACTTTTCTTCTATACTTCTACATATCTTGCTCTTTCATTAAGTCGGCCATAATGTATCAAGGCGTTCCGCCAGGCTCCACCACTGCGTAAATATTCCATTTCCACATTTCTGAGACCATTTCCTTTGATCCCTGAGCTCTAGCTCCCTCCGTCTTGCTCCCTGAAGCAAAGTGCCAGGCCACGCTCCCAGAAGCCTTCTTCAGACCGAAGACAGTACCTGCGTTCCCCCCCACCACCCCCGCCCCGGCTGAGCAAATCATCAACCGGCTTGGCCCCAGGTCATGGTCCCTCCGCAGGGCGTTGTCATGCAGCCCACCACAGCCGAATGTCTCCCTGTGCCACCACCCCCCCCAGGTGTCAGTCCCAAGAACACCTCCAAATTCAGTTCCTGCCCAAAGATCTCCATCTTGAAGTCTGTCTCCCGGGGAACTGAGCCCGTAACAGCGCCCCACCCCCCTCCCCCCGACACATGTGCCCCTCAGCTGTGCTCTATGAGGGGCATTCACGCCTTCCCTGACTTCGGCACCCCACTTGCTGGTCACCTCTGCAGCCAACCCGTCAGAAGGGCATCTCCTCGGCACACATCACCTGAGCTACCTGGTGGGGAAAATACCAGCATGACAGTACTTGCTAGTCACATCTTTATGATTCGCAATTACTTATTAAGCAAGAAAACTGTTTGGTATTTACAGGCATTATATGAAAATAAAGGATTTCCAGCAAAACAGAGGGGAGAAGAAAGAAAACTATTTGGGAACATAAAGACCCTTCCCCTCCCTTAAAGCAGGACACTGTTACAGCAAAGTATGAAAAACAAGTGAATACGTGTGACAATTCATGTTAAAACTGGGGTATCAGTAAGTTAGAGACCAGAAAATAACAAAACAAAGTGTAAAAGACTTCAAAGTGGCCTTTCCTCATCTAATTTTCCTTTCCACTTATAAATGGTATCACAATTCTAAAGACTTGGGTGAAAATTTTTTATTATGAAGATAGAGCTCTAAGAACAGAAAGATATTATGTGCTGGCTTACAGGTTCTTGTAAAAAGAATGATAATGTGAAAAATTAGTAAAAAATTAAAATCTCAGAAGTTATCTAAAACCTGAAAATGGTAAGCAGCTTCCCTGTGTCTTAGTTTTGATCACTTTTGCTTAATCAGTTTTGCATATCTGGGTGAAGAGAGTATTTAATTTTTCTATTCTTATTCATAATGTAGTGTGTCCTTCAGAGCTTGGCATAGTCTTTAAGAATCATCTGAAGCTTCTGGCTCAGCATGATGTTCCCTCTGGCCTTCAGTCTGCCATTAAAGAATGCCTAGAAAGGAGAGAGGAAAAAAAGATTGCCAGACTTTATCACATTACATTTCATTTCTTTTTTAAAAAGATCATTGGTCACACTGAATACAATGGAAATAACAACTCTGGACAACAAAGGCAACTTTTATCCAGCAACGATACTTTAATGATTATAGATAGCACCCATATTTCTAGATATCTAAGGGGGAGGGAGTGTATTTTGGAAAACCACAGAATAATCTGTCTGAACCAACAGACTTGTGAGTTCTGCTTCAACCCACACTTGGATGGCAGTCTATGTTCTTAAATGTGAATTTGAGACCCTACGAATAAAAGGCTTGGCTGTATTCCTAACAGTAAAAATATTTATGACACCTTCATGAAACAGAAAGCCACGTACTGACAAAATAAGGTCACGTCACAAAGTAGCGGATCGACCCTTCTGTGCTGTCGTCTCAGAAGGGCTGGGTTAAGACCCAGGCTCTGCCACTTACAAGCAAGGGGAGCTGGGGCAAATTCCTCCACCTCCCTGAGCTCCAGCCTCCTCGTATCCAAGAGGCATGACAAGAGGACCTAAATAATGCAGCTCTGCTGTGGAGCTGAACCAATCAGTGTGGCAAGCGCTTAGCTTAGCATGTGACAGGCAGGAGGCGCAAACCAAACTCGTCCTTACTACCAAGCCAGGCCTTGCACAGTCCAACACCATGGGCTCCAGAATCACCTCTGGACCCCACCCGACGCAGAGGTTTGCGCAAGTTGCTTAAGATCGCCCTCAGTGTCAACGTCCCTCTCAAGAGAAACAAAACCATCACAGTTTGCATAGCTGAGAAAACAGTATATGGAATACGAAGGGAAAAAGAAGCCCCAAGATTTTTAGATAGATTGAAAAAAATCATAAGAGCCGTGATGACTACTATTTACCATTGGAAAGCAGCCCTACAAATATGATCTCGCTCGAGAAGCACAACCACGAGCCCGCAGTGGGCAGACTGGGCATCGGTTTACTGCCAGGGGACAGTGGGGCCAACTTCAGGTCCGAGAGCTTCCCTAACCCACGCCAGGCCCCCGAGCCAGCAGGAAGGGGGACCAGGCCAGCACTTAGCAACGAGCAGCAACTTAATCTTAGAAGCAGATCCTCATCAACCGGAGGAGAAGCAAAAGCTCTTTAAGCCTCTTAAACTTCTTAGCCCGGCAAAAATAAAAGGAGAACTCAGTCAATCGGGATCAAGTGCTCGGTGTTCAAATGGGAGGCTGCAACTTCAAAACTAAACCTGCTTTTGCTGTGCAGTTATGGGCACTGTGCCCACAGCCCCGCAGGGGGGTCAGTACAGACACCTGCCCGCTTGGTACCAGCTCCGAGAGGGACGTGCAACCTCAGATAAGAACACTTAACTCCTTGAAGTAAATCCACCAAAACCAACATGCGATGGTTGTCACGGAGTGACGGAATAGAGCTGTATTCCTTAGGGCAGGTTCCTAAAGAAGAAACTACTGAATCAGGACCTTTCTAAAATAAGGTTCCTGACCACGCTCAGTATCACCAGCTTCCAAACCACACACAGCGGCTGGGCAGCAAATTCACGGGCACGGGAAGGAATACTTAAAATTTTCAAGGCAAATAGTGACAGCAGTGACACACAACTTTTGTTTGGACCTAACTACTTAATAAACTGGACCGCTGGGTATTTCTTTTGGCCTGGGAGTGCCAGGCAAAAAGTACTGAGACCGTAAGTCGCCATCAAGGAAGAAAGTCGGAAGCTCTGCCACAGTGCCTTCCAGAAAGACTCTTTCGAATGTATGTTCCCTGAAACTACACGTAAATTCTCTTACCCCAACTATAACATAATCTCTGAAAACGTGAGGCAAGATGACATCCTTTAATTTGCATTTTGTGGATACTGGGAAAAACGAGTAGTTTTTCTTAGGCATGTGAGTCATTTCTATTTCTCTACTAATTACTGGTTCATATCTTTTGCCCTGTTTTTTATATTTAGTGCTTTCCAGAATTTTGCAAAGGCTATCAATACCACTAAACCATGTATCATCGTTCTCTTTATTATTTCCCCCAGGCTTATGGGAATATCTTATGGAGTCTGACATGGTGAAGTTTCCAGTTTCTACATGGCCTAAATTGCTGTTGTTGAGCTTCTGTTCCTTATTTTATCCTTGCTTTAATTTACTCAAGTATTACTGAGTGTCCACAGTATACCAGGTAATATCCTCGGCAGGAAACAGATACTGCTCTCTGTTCTCAGGAAGCCAACATTATAGTAGGGGAGTCAAAAAATAAAATGTAAACAAGTAATTAAGACCTGTTATCCATGCTGTGAAGGAAGAAATGGGATGCTCTCAGAGACTGTAACAGAAAGGAACTACTTTGCATGAACTGAAGCCGGCTACACAAAAAGCTGGGGGACAAATTCCAGAAAAGGCAAACACATAGACACCGAAGGAATAAACACTGACAGGAAGAACTTTCAAGAAAGGACAATGGGAATGGAAGCAGCACTCTAAGCGGGGAGGCAAGCAGTGTGGGCTGAAGCTAGAAACACCAGCAAGAAAATCGTCAGGTAGGACACAATAATAGGTAGTTTGGATTTGATCCATGTCCAAAAGGAAATCTTAGAGATGTTTTCAGGTGAGGCAACCTCTAATCTAATTTACATTTCTTAAAGGATTACTCTGGATCCTGGGGGGACAGGCAAGGATGGGGGCAGTAAGACCTGCCAGGAAGCTGCTGTCAAAAGCCAGCAGAGATGCTTGGGGGCTTGGATCGTGGTGGTATCTCTAGTGATGAGGAGGAAAGGATGAACATAAGATATATTCTGGAAAAAGATCAGGCAGAATTAAGGACAAAAAGAATACAGAGGTATAGGAAGAAGCCAAGACAATTCTTACGTTACCAAGCACGTTAACTCTGGTAGGTAGATAGTGGTGCCATTTACGGAGGTGGAAAAGACTAGGGGAGAAAAGGAAATCATGAGTTCTATCTTAGACACAGTCAGTGGGAGATGCCAGTAAGACTTCGCATCAGAGAGGTCAGGCGCAGTTGCTTACATCACTACGGAGCGCAGAGAAGACAAGTAGGTCAGGCATTCACAGGCCTATGAGCTGTCAACATATACGAGACTTCAAACACCACAAGACAGATGAACACACTGGGGGAAAGACTGTTATTTACAGAAGAGCCCTGAAATGAGCCCTGAGAAGAGGCACCAAATTTAACGGTTGGGGTGGAAGAAGAAGGCACCAAAGAAGATTAGGAAAAGCCAAAGGTAGAGACAGAATACAAGAAAATGGCGTCAAGAAAGCCAAGGAGTGAAATTATTTCAAGAAGTTGGTGGTTAACTGAGTTGAATGCTACTCAAAGGTTGAACAAGACACAGAGAAATATCCATTGGCTGGTAAAGTGGAAGTCGTCAGTGAGCTTTGTAAGAACAGTAGCAGCGGCGTAATGGATGTGGAAGTGAGGGAAGAGGCGGCAGAAGAGCAGAGTCAAGACCGAACGTTTAAGCCTCTGCTGCCCAACAAAGGGGCCGCTAGCATGTGAAATGTGATAAGTCCTGGATGAGATGCACTAACAGTGTAAAACAGACCCCGGATTTAGTTTTTAAAAAAGGATATAAAGAGGCACCTGGGTGGCTCAGTTGGTTAAGCGTCTGCTTTTGGCTCAGGTCATGATCCCAGGGTCCTGGGATCGAGCCCCGCATCAGGCTCCCCGTTCGGCAGGGAGCCTGCTTCTCCCTCTCCCTCTGCCCCTCCCCCTGCTTGTGCCCTCTCTCACTCAAATAAATAAATAAAATCTTTTAAAAAAGGATATAAAATATCTCAATACTTTTCTACTGAATACAGGGTGAAATGATAATTAGCTGTACTGGGTTAAATAAAATGTATTATTTAAAACCAGTTTCACCAGTTTCTTTTTAACGTTTTTTTAAACATGATATGGCATGCTGGATGGGGATCGGATATCCAAAGAGGGTGTTGGTTTAAAATCGAGAGGTTAGCTCGCCTGTGGCTGCAGGAGACTGGCGCAGTGGGACAGGGAGACTCGTGGGGAAAGGAGAGGAGAGGAGAAGCATTAGTGACCGGAATGGAAGAGAAGGGACCAGTCTCTGACGGGAAGGGGGAGACTTGCTTCACGTAAGGCAAGGGAAGAAAAGGAGATGGGGCAGATGCTGCGAGAGCAGACCTGCTGATGGACTGGCCAAAGTTTTCATCTGAAAACCTTCTTTTTCCAATGAAGCAAGAAAGGCCATCGGGCAAAAATGAAAGAGAGGCAGGCATGTGGGAGCTTTCAGAAGACAAGTACGAAAGAGTCATCGCAGACAAGAGGACTGGAAGCTGGCTGGAGACCAGAGTCAGACCGCTGGACGGCACGGAGAGACTGTGTGAGGCTTGGGATCCAGAACTTCGAAGGAAGCCAATCTGTCGTGATGTGTGGCTTTTCGCCCCATTCACCTATTCAGGGACAGATATAAAGATGGCGGAGAGTGGGGTTCAAAGGGTGGAGTCTTCGGGCAAGGGAGATGAGAGAGAGAAGGGAGGGGAGGGAATTTCCAGGGGCTATGACGAGAATGGACCAGGGAGAGAAGCCAAGACGGAAGGGTTGTGTCAACAAATGGGAGGCCTCTGTGAAGCTTAACTATAGGAGCAGGAACAAGAGACCAAGTGAACAGAACGATAGGTGAGGGTGCTGGGAAACAGAGATGTTCTGTAAGTTGCACACTTTAGGCTGCCGATAAGGACTAAAACGGACTGGGGATGGCGTGAAGGATAATAAGAAGTGAGACGAATGAACTATGAGTCACCTGTTGGAGCAGCCATTCTCAGGAATCATGAAGGAAGCCACCGAGGTGGCCCCGAAGGTCCCACGCACACTAGCCCTTCCCCCGTCTGCCATCACCTCCTGCTCGGCCCCCACCGCTCATGCGACCTCCTCCCCGCTCCAGTGCTCCAGCAAGCCCTCCTGCCTCCACACGCGGCTTCCCCGGCCTCACAGCTCATCCCCTCACGGCGGTTAGCGCTCTCTAGGGTCTTTCTGGACAGGCCCATCCGAAACCCTCCCTATACCCCGTCACACTCTAATCCAGGGGCCGGCAAACCACAGCCCGCGGGCCAAACTGGTCTGCGGCCTGTTTCCGCGTGTGCACTTTTACTGGGACACAGCCCCCCTCCTCTGTCTCCCTATTATCTGCGGCTGCTTTGCCTCCACAGTGGCTGGACTGCCCATGTGCACCGCAGATCATCGGGCCACACAGCCGAGAATGTGCATGAGGCGACCCTTCACAGAAAAAGGGGGCCAAGCCCGGCTCTCACCCATTGCTCTGCTGGATTCTTCTTCATACCCGAAATCAGATTTCCTTCCCGCTCCCTCTAGAACTAAGCTCAGACGGTAGGGCACCGTCTTGTTCCGCCACACCAAGCACCCGAATCAGTGAGTGCTGAATGCGTTTCTACGAAGGAATCAACTGAAGTCACGGGGTGCCAAGCGCTGTATATGTTATCAGACTGAATTATAACAGGCCTTTGGGATTATGACGATTATTGTAGTAACTTTACCAATGAGAAAATCGAGACTGAGAGAGAAAGTGGCAGAGCTTAGAGTCAGACTCGGATCTATCTGATGTCAAAGATCCTACTGTACTACTTGACAATTCTTTTTAAATTAGTCCTTCTAAGAATCCGGGAAAACTGTACTTTCTCATGTACTGAAACGGCTCTGCTCCCTGTAAACATGCATGACTGTCTTCAAACAAGCTTTCCTTCTTAGGGAAGTCACCGATATTCTGTAGTTTGGGTTGGGATTATAAACAACTTCTTTTCCAGTGCTATCTTCTAGTTGGGTTTGCTGCTGTGAGAAAGTGATTTTTTAATAATGATCGGGCATTCGACCACTGGCTCAAAGTCCTTCATTTTAAGAATCAGTAGTTGATTCTCTTGGGATTTCTAGCTACATAATCAGGGTTTCAAAGTAACAAGGGTGTCTCTTCCATTCTAATTGTTAAATCAGTTTCTTTAATTTTGTGTGTTTGTGGATTGGCCAAAAGCTTCAGAACGATATTCACGAATAATGGTCAGAGAGGGCACTCTTGTCTTCATCGGTATTCTCCACGGAAAGGCCTCTAAGGGTCTCACCTTAAGTAAGACACCGGCTCTTATTGGCCTATTCTACTATTTCCAGTTTTCAATGATGACTGTTAAGACAAGTTCTTAATCTTGTACACCAGGAATGAATTTCAAATTTTAGGAAGTATCTACTAGTATATGGTTTTTCACTTTCGAACTAATGACAGAATGTATGTAAAGGTCTAGGTGTGGGTTTTATACCGTTTCACTCTATGCTGAAGAAGAAATTCCACTTTAAAGGGGGTTGTGTGGAACTCCACTAAAAATATATATGATCTGCAACCCAGATACTGAGATCCCCCGAGTCTCCTTCACAGTGGTAAGGAACTTGTCTTCTAAGTCAGCATTTGGGAGCCAGCTAACAACTGCCTGGTCAAACAGGAAGCAATGATGATGAATGGGCATGTCAGGACATTACCTTCTGAGGGTCGAGCTTGCCCAGGACCACGTCCATGAAATCTTCATCTGAAAGTGTGAAGGTTGCGTCAGCAGAGCCTTTTGCAGGACCTTGATACACTTTTCCAGAACCACTTTTTAGGTCAACAGCTGTCAAAAGTAGGAAGAGAGCAATGTGTTTGTTTTTTTTCTTCACAATAGGAGAGTAAAATAAACCAACTGAAATGTGAACATTTTTAGTTTCCAAGTTCATGTGGTGCTTTCTACATTATACATTATCTGTCATTTAGAAAAATTTAGAAAATCCTTTATTTTTCAAGATGACTTTTTTATAAAGAAGTTGTTCAAAATAGTCAAATCAAGGGAGTCTGGCTGGCTCAGTCCATAGAGCGTGCGACTCTTGATCTCAGGGTCGTGAGTTCAAGCCCCACGTTGGGTATAGAAATTACTTAAAAATAAAATCCTTAAAAAAAAAATAGATCAATAGTTTCACCTCAGTGAAGAAGTTTATAGAACAGAGACATTTTAAACGTTAATTAACGTAGAATAACATAAGGAAGTTAAGTTGTTGGAGGTTATACGGTTAAGGCCTTTAGGTTCAAATACAGACACTCTAGTCAACAAAGGAGGAAAGCTCAATTCTGTTTTATTTTATTTTAGTTATTTATTTATTTTGAGAGAGACAGCATGTGAGCAGGGGGTGGGGGTGAAGGAGCAGAGGGTGAGGATGACAGAGAATCTCAAGCATGCTAGGCATGGAGCCCAGCACAGGGCTCAATCTCACAACCCTGAGACCATGACCTAGCTGAAATCAAGAGCTGGATGCTCAACCGACTGAGCGGAGCCACCCAGGCACCCCAGAAAGCTGAATTTTAAAACAGGTGCATGTTGGTTGGGTTGGGTTGGGGGAAGGAAACACACACTCTAGTCACCTTTCAAATACCTGCCTTCATCAAACGTTCCGTCATGCATAGCAAGACAGTCGAAACAGATTCGTAAAAATGTTGTTTGTTGCACTTATGATTTATAAAATATTTATTGCCTTCATTATTGCAAATAAACATTAAAATTAGCTTCTTTTCCCTTAACTGCTTTTGACAGAAGTATCAAGTGCCCCAGAAACAGGCTGGGTAACTGGGAAAGCTATGAAAAACCACCTTCATGGCTCTCTCTAGATCATTTATAGAGCTGGATGCCCAAGCGACGTGTCAGAAAGTTTTAACTGTCTCACATGTGATCGAGACCAGTCATCCACTCCTCCAGCGTCAGCTTCTGGAAGGCACTCTCTCTTGCTACAGCGAAGGAGCTGGCCCTGAGACTGTGTACAGAACTCCAAGTTGAGAGCCGAGGAGAAGCTACACACGCGTGAGGAAAACCCACAGGGTTCAGTGACATGCTGCTTAACCGAGACTTGCTCCAGAGAGAAAATTAAATCACGCCAACTCTTTGAGAGAACAGAATTTTGCCAACTAAGGTAAAACAGTAGTGACCTGATGATCATGGTTGCATTGGGAAGGAGAAAGGCAACTTTTTGCTTTGTATGCTTCGTTCACTCACTTCACTGCTGAGTTTCCACCATGGGTGTCAGACGATATGCCAGGTACTCAAAGTCAGGCGTGCAGAGCAAAGGCTCTGTTCTTACTGGCACTTCCCTAGTACACATGTGTTTTCATGTAATGCTTGTATAGTTGAAAAGAAAGAAAAGAGAGAAAAAGAGAGGGAGCGAGTCAGGAAGGCTGGGGAAGGAAAGGAAGGGAGGAAGGAAAGCCTCTAAACTCTAAAAAGCAAACCTCTGGTGTTCAACAGACAACCTTCATGATTTTAATTCTTCACAAGTAGGTCTGAAGTCCACAAGACCCGCTCAGGCATGAAGGTGGACCGCACACATCTTAATGCTCACGTGTGCAAGTGAGTCTCTGGTTGATGGGGGTTCATCGCTGTCCGCCTGCCCTCGCACTCTCCCTGGTTCTACGTGTGGCTTCCCAGCCCTGACTCTTGCAAAGCAGTAAATCTCTTCTGTGGAAAGCTAGTAACTAGGGTTGGTAACAGAAAAGAGGGCGAGGAAAGGGAAGGTTCTTAGCAAGCACACAGGAGGTCGAGGTAAAGGAGTGGTAATGCCAATCCCATGGTAGCTCAGGTCATGGTCTACAACATAGCTCTTGCTGGAGCCTCATCACCCACCACCATCACCTTGAGTTTAAAGACAACGGTGTGGTCATGGCTAATCTTACTGAAATGAAGAAACAGATTGCACGTATTTTCTCCTACTGGCAGAAATGATTTTAAAAGCTTTATGACTAACATTAGCTCTGTATTTATATAATCATTGAGGCTCTGAAAGAGTCCGTTAAAATTTCAGTCGGGGGTGCCTGGGTGACTCACTTGTTAAGCGTCTGCCTTCAGCTCAGGTCATGATCCCAGGGTCCTGGGATCAAGCCCCTCATCAGGCTCCCTGCTCAGCAGGAAGCCTGCTTCTCTCTCTCCCAC